CCATGGGAAGCATCATGGAAGGCATGTTCATTCTGCTCATCATGCTCACTTGTGCTTGAAGTTGTTTCAAGTACTCTATCACTTCATCCAACATGGATGCTTTGTCCGTCTAATTCCAAATTATAATGAAATAATGATCAAACCAAATCTTTTTATATATATCTACTATAATTAACCAAACCAATGCTATACGGATTTAGTCAAGCATGTGTGTACATCATATACATGTGATATAGATTGCGTTGATTTTTGAGTCGACAGCCACAAGGCATATATGTAAATAAAGGGGTATATGAATGGACCAACAGGACCAAGTAATAATAAAGAGATGTAAAAATAAGTTTTTAGAGGGCAAACAAATAAAAGATCGAGCATAAGTGTGTGGAGTAGAATCATCTTATGAGGTCCATATCTTTAGATGCATTCACTTCGCTTTGGTCCACCATCTTCTTTTTTTTTCTCATATTATCTTCATATATACACATACAATTACTAATCAACTAAACTGATTGTAGCTAGCTACTTTCTTTTGACTATATGTAGCACGTAAAACGACGAGGCACGTACCTTGCTGGAATTGGGAACAAGTTTCTGCAAAGTCTTCATCCTTTGATTGATCTTGTCTCTCCTCTTCTGCAATGAAATCGGTCAAAAGTGCTGTTACAATTAATTTATCAAAGGAGTGACGCATTGAATACCCTTCTTAAATAAATAAATAAATAAAAAGGAAGTCACAAAGCATGTCTAATGAAGACGAATATACATACAGTACCTTTTTTTAAAAAAAAAATTTGGGTTGGTTATAATGTTAATCATAAGTACGAGTAGATATACTTATAACGTGATAAAACTTGAAAAATAGATGAAAATAAGAAGAAGAAGAAGAAGAAGGTTTGAGTGAGTGAGAATATATATTATTACTCGTTCGGATTGGTTATGAATAGCAGCGGCTCTGCTTCTCTTGGTTGAAACTGATGATTTGCCTCCACCTTTCTTCTCTTCTTCTTCCTCCATCTATCGTTTTCTCTTCGTTAATTTTTTGTTTTTGTTTTTGTTTATATGTACAAAAGTGATATAATTACCTATAGAAGAAGAAGTGAATGCATAATATATGATGACTTGCCTGTGGCCGGCTGTGGCAGACGGAGTCATGATCGTCGATGGTGTTATCAGGCGAGCCCATTGATGTTGAGGTCAAACCGATGTCGTAAGTGTCCATGGTCAGGCGCTGACTCCCACTCCCGCTCCACTCCGGCGCCACTCTGGCTCGTTTTACACCGGCCATGGTACGGCCATCACTACACGATCCCACTCTAGTGGAGCCAACCCCACCGTGCTTGCTCTGCTGCTCCTGGAGGTTTGAGCAAGGGACAAGCGCGTCCATGGCCATGGCGGCTCTGGAAGAGCGATGGTGGAACCATGGGACGAGCTCATCAGTGGGCTTAGGGTTTGGGAGGCGAGTAGCTTGGTCCACTATCGACTCCAACGTTCCACCGGCCCCTGTTGAGTACTTCGTCGACGAAGCCGTCACTCTCGGTGGACCTAAGCCGTGCAAGCCCAGTTGCCCGTTCTCCCACGTCAGCTCGGCTACCTCGTAGTCTAACCTGCAAACAAACAACAAATTAAATTAGAAACTGCGGACCATATCAAGATGATATCTTATTATATAAAGTAGGCGGGTACATGGGGATATCGGCGGCTGTGGTGGAGCGGACGGTGGTGGCGGCTACTGCAGCCACCGGAGTATCATCTATGTGACAGTCGGGAACACATTGGCTCATCCTAATTCTGAGTATTTGCAATTTAAAAGATTTTATTGTGTTATTGCATATCTTCTTCTCTTTCTTAAAAAGAACTTTTTTATGTGAACTTTTCTAGTAATCACGTAATGGACAAGTGGGGACATGGTACTTGAATCGTTAACCATATGTATTTAGTTATATAGGTCCCTTCTTTTAATGACCTGCTTAACACCTGTTGAATGTTTCGTTGACACCTTAAATGTGAGAATCAATTATATATAACTCACATATATAGTTTGTCTTCTTGTCATGTTCAACTACGTTTAGTAGGATTCGCTCAAGTGTAATACTACGTAGTGTCACTATGTTGCGTATGTTCTTTTGCTAGAATCGAAGGAAGAGTGGAGGATAAAGCGGTGAATAAATATTACTACGTGGATGCATGGAGGTCCATTGAGTAAGAGCCCAATACTTTTTAGCCGAGTATCATAGAATCATTGGTATTTCTATGATTTCCCATTGTAGAACAAAACTAATGCAAGTATAATGCAGCCATACGCTCATACACATATACATGTATCATGTATGTGTTGGCATCGGTTCATGAATAGTTAACGTGCCGACTCTCATACTGTTTTATTTGTTTGTTTACAAATGTCCGGTTCATACATAGACATTTAAAGGCTCCTCATGAGAAAGCCTTCGAAAGTGATTCCCGGTCCGAAAGCTAAGCCCAGACCCCACTCTTCTCCCCCTGTGCCTTTCTTCTCAAGCTCATCTCTCACTTTCTCCATTATGTAGAAGATGGTGTTGCTGCTTACGTTCCCATAATCCATTAACGCCCGTCTGCTGCATTCCAGTTTTTCCGGCTTCAGCTTCAGCTTTGTCTCCAGCCCGCTCAGGATGGCTGGTCCACCTGGGTGAACTGCCCAGAAAAGGTCATTCAACTCCAACGACCCAGAGCCAGAGCCAGCCTCTGCAACTAGCTTCTTGCAGAACTCCTCGACATTGTCTTCGATCTTCTGAGGGAGGTCTCTTCCTAGCTTGAAGCTTATGCCCTCTTCTGAGAGCCGTCCGTCGATCACCCCATGTGTTCCAGGCAGGAACTGCTGCATAGCACAGTGCAGCTCCACGAAAGGAGATTCCGACTCTGTAGGGTCTGCTCCGATGATCAGGGCAGCTGCTCCGTCTCCAAAGAGTGCAGCCCCGACTAAGTCGTAAGGGCGAGCTTTGTTAGGCGGCCGGAATCCCAGAACCGTAGTCTCAGATGTGGTGAGCAGCACCCGGCTCCCTGGGTTGTTCTCAGCAATGTCTTTGGCCACACGCAGCCCACTCACACCTCCGTAGCATCCCAGAAAATACAGCATCACTCTCTGAACCTCGTTGCTAAGGCCCAGCTGTGCCGAGAGGTAGAGGTCACCCCCGGGTAAACGGAACTCACTGGAAGAAACATAGACAAGATGAGTTATATCTTGCACCGCCCTTCCCCATTCCTTGATGCAAACCAAGCTCGCTTCATATGCCATCTGTACAACCGCCTCGTTTGCAATCTCAAGCCTCTGTTTGATAGTTGGGGAACCCTCGGTTGCAAGCTCAGGATATTTGTGCAGGGTCTCCCGAGACATGACTGTGTAGCGTGTCTTCACAGTTGTGGTTTTACCTAACATCACCAAGTCACACATACATGCTCATCTTTGCACAAGTGGTCAAAGGAAAAGGTTGACAAAAAAGTAGAGGGAATGATGAAGTTACACAAGTGTTGCAGCTTGTCTCTGATAGACAGGTCATCACAATTGATTTCACGGAGATACTCCTCCACGAGATTCTCCTGGGAAACAACATTGCTCGGGAAGGCCTTACCTAGAGCAAGCACTGTTGCCTTCCCCTGATTTGCAGTCCGCCTTGAGCTTTTGCCTATTTCCTTTCGTTTCTCTAACCTTGCGGACGCCAACATCTTTTCCAGTTTCACAATAAAACAATACACAAGGGATTAGTGATGGCCTTTTTAACTCGTGGAAAAAGGGCATGGAAAGTGTGGGTGGTGTGTTTGTAACAAACACAGACAATAACCCAAAATAAACTCAAGCGTCACACTTCGGGTGATCCTCCCTATTCCTCCCTATATTCCTGCTTCATCTATTTGAGACCCAACCCAATAAGTAAAAGGAAGATGAGTTTTGAAAGAGATGGAGAATGGTTTATTAGTAATACACAAGAAACAAAGCTTAGCTAAATATACAAACATCATTCATTCTTTCCAGCCATAAGGAGCACGATCAACTATTAAGTAGTCTCCTCTGATGTCCTTGGCCACTCTGATATCACCGTCCATATACACATTCTCAAACCTGTGGAACCAAACCCAAACTCTTTCTCTTTATCTTATATAGCATTCGAAACTCGTTGTTTTAGTAAATAGACAACTCACCAGCCTTTCCCAAATGGTGGCAGTGGGAGCTCCCAGTTCTTCCCTCTTAACACTGCGCTATTGAATCTGAATATCAAAATGCAATCCAGTTAATCTAGAGGCTAGAGGTTAGGCTACACACTCTGTTTTTGAAGTGATTTGAACCTGAAATTGACTCTCTGCGGGGAAGCGATTTGGATATCAGAGCGTACGAAGAACACTCCGTCCGGCGGGAAAGTGATGACGTTGTTGAGGATCCGTTTCTTCACATCGATCACCTGCAAAATGTCTCCGGCGGTCGTCCCAAACAATCCCGCCTTTTCTATGATGAAGAGCTGTTCCTTCTCCGTCGTCCAAAGGAGCCGCCACGTGGCAGATAAAGAGTCGCCTGTGGTGATGGAACTGCGGCCGATGACCGCCATGGATTCGATGGCATTCACGATAGCATCTCGCTTCGTGGCGTCTTTCTGGGTTCTCAGACCTCGATCCTCGTCGGAGATCAGCTCCAGCAGGCTCCGCTTGGCTCGCTGTGCTGGATTCGCGAAGATCGAACAGCTTGTCCGAAAAGCGCCACGACGACTGCGGAGTGGAGGAGGAGGAGGAGGACTTGCCGAGAGCGCGAGCGCCATGTTTGCACATAGCAATTCGCATGGTTGAGGTTGCGAGTAAGAATGAGAGATGTATCAATGGGCTTTAAAAAACTAAGCCCGTTTGGTTCGAGGGAATGGAAACATTGTGTTTTCAGACCAAGCCCAATAAGAGCGTGCACGTGCGCACTTCTTTGTCACGTGTCTACGATATTAAAACCCCAGAAGAACTCAGAACTCAGAAGTCGGCTTCGCCTTGCTCATCAAACTCGCTCGCTCGTCGTCTCCACTTGCAAAGAAGCTTCAAGTTTCATTCTTCCTCCTCCAATTTTGGCACGCAGAGATGATGATGAGCCTTCTAAGGAGATCAGCGATAGCCATCGGCCGCCAATCAAAATCGAAGCTGGCTTCGTTTTCCTCCGCTTCACAACCTTCCTCTCGAATCCCAAAATCGGTTTCTCTCTCCCTTGGCATTTTTCTTTTATCCAGCATCGTTGCTAGAATGGCTAATCTCTTTCATTCAAAGCTGTTTAGTTCTTTCCCAATAGTCATGGATTGTTGTTAGTATATTGAAAGAGAATAAAATAAGGAACTTGACTTGCAGATTCTACATAGCTCGACTTAGTCCAAGTTTCCAATATTTGCACTTTGGTCTGAGGTTGTTTTTTCAATGACTGATTTCTTACTACTGTTTGAATTGAATCTCTCTATTGACAAGAATACACACCTTGATCTTTATGAGTAGTGGGATTCACAACATTTGACCCCCCTTGTTCATTTCTTTGCAATACTAGCCCTATTCATACTCTCCTGCCGAGATAAGAGACTGTTTCTACTTTCTTTCAAAACGTCTTCTTCCCTTTAATTATTGTATCTCCCTTCCGATGCAGTTGATAAGCGTTTTACAAAGAAGAGCATCCAGGCATACCACTTCTGATTCGGTTCTAACGTGTCTGGTACACACAAACATTTTATTTGCTGCTTACACCCTTTTGGGCATTTATGTTACATTGTTAGTTTAATAGCTCTCATCGTTTCTCTATGCAGGAATCAACTGAAGTTAATGGTCAGCAACAATGATGTGTAATTAAACTTCAAATCCCAGGCTTGTGTAGTTTTTTTCTTCTGACAATGATCTGTTTTCAGGACTATTGGTTCGCTTCCGAAACCCCCAAATAAGTATATGTACGCAAACCTGTCCAAAGAAGATAAACTCATCCTACCTTACTAGATCTTTTGCATCTAGGACTTCTAAAGACTCTGGGAATCAGCAGAACAAGGTGTTCATAAGAATCTTTATTTTTGTGTTTTGTTACGTACATGTTTCTACTTAATGTATGTGTTCTGTGTTCGCCACTTATCACAATGCAACTTATCTCACCTAATCCGATATGAACAGCGTCTAAAACATTAGTGCCAGAATAACAACTCTTTGGAAATTGTTTTACAGGCGAAGAAAGAGGTGACGACTACGGAGGACCCATTTGATTCTCCTACATACCACATCCCTGAGAAGCCGGTGACCTTTACAGAAGGTGCTTCCTACAGTCTTGTTATTCTTGCTGGGCTTGGGATTGCTGGAGCTGCGGGGTACGCTGTGTTTAAAGAGCTCATATTTCAACCAAAAGAGTGAGACTTCAGAACACTTGTTTCATTTATGTGCTCGGACACTAGGATTTGGGGTAATCTAAAGACACCATCCTGTATTCTAGGTACAAGATCTTTGACAAAGCCCTGAAGAGAATTCAAGATGATGGCCAGGTAATGGGAAAGTAACTCCAGAGATTGAACAGAACGGAAGGGTGGTGCATTAATAAATGAAAGCATCTTTGTTAATGCTGAGATTGTCTTGTTAACTAGGTGAGGGTTAGGATTGGATCCCCCATCAAAGGCTACGGACAAGAAACCAGAAACCGAGCTGCTCGTCAACGTATACCCAACAGAGTATTTACAGATGAAGATGGAGTTGAGCATGTTGAGGTAATTCATTGTAGAATACCCTTCTGTCCTTGGAGTCAATCTTGCAGTCTTGCTATATAAATTGAGAACAAAATTGAGGAAACAGAATAGAGAAATTGCAGGTTTAACATATAAAAAAAAATGAATATACTTCAGGTAAACTTCTACATCCGTGGGCCTCAAGGAGCGGGGAAAGTGTACACGGAGATGTTTAAAGACAAGGCAGAGAATGAGTGGAAATACACGTACCTGATCGTAGAGATTCTTACACCTTCCCCAGCCAAATTGATGCTGGAGTCTTATTTGCCCGCCTAGACACTCCTTATTTATGGTTCAGTTTATTCCGGAAAACATTCATAAACGGGTAAGATTGTTTTAGTTGGGTGTTCGACAAAGGAAAGAATTGTGTTACACATGAGTTATAGGAATGTCAGGAGCAAGAATCAGTTTGCTAATTTGAAAAATGCTCAATGTTTATGATCCTCTTCAGGCTGTCTAGGGGTTTAAGCCATATTCAAATCTGAGGCTTGATTAATATCCTTTTGCGAATTACTAAAAACACGAAAATGAAACATGCTTCCTCAAGGAGAATGCATATATCATGATGAATCAAGTATACATTAGTGGCGCTGATACAATCATGGATAAAATCAAACGGTGTTTATAGTATCAGTAAGACAGCGGAGAATGCAACCCAGACCAGCTCTCTCAGTGAGTTTCTCGTGGATCTTCAAGCACTGATCACACGTGGGTCGGTCACCAGTAGAAAGGCCTCTGTACAAGTACCTGTTCCACACCATTCAACAAAATAAACAAAAATAGCATCAGGCAAAAGTAACATTCTATCAAAGAGCAGCCTGACATTCCAATGGGTTCCCCATTCATACAAACTTTACTTTCTCGTGTATGACACTACCTCCTCTATCACAACATTTAGGGTCAAGACTTAATATATACATCTATGCAAGAAAAGATGTTTAGAGTTCTTACTTCATGAGGATATCGTAATACTCGGCATCGAGAGCATTCAGCATTCCGTCGATATCTTTTATGGCCATTAAAGCTCTGTGTACAACTATCCAATTAGCCGACTGCAACGAATGAATGAGATATGTTTGGCTCAGGTATACAAATCACAAGAAAGAAGGTTAATTAGGCAGAGGAAACAGAGACCTTGCAACGTTCATCGCGAGTTTTCGGAGGCGATCCTTCAAGAGCCGTTTTCAAAGCTTCAACATGTTTGTACCTGCACAGACAAACACCACTGAAGGTCATCTGAGAAACAAAGGGGAAAACTTTAGGGCAGGTTAACTCCAAAGTCCAAGGTATATTACTGCTTCAGTAAGCTTTCAATCTTCCGCGATTTAGTTTCAATCCTCGCGATTATTGCCTCTGCGTTATCAGCCTCAACAAATTCTGCCATTGCTTCTCTCTCTCTCTCTCTCTCTCTCTCTCTCTCTATCTCTCTTTTACTCTCTCTGATCAGAGATTCCCCTCTCCTCTTCTGATGATGCGACAGAAAGAAAGAGAGAGAGAGGGGAAAACTCAACCGTCGTTTAACCATTTTAAAAAGGAACTGGTTGACGTTTGCGTTGGCCTAAACGGCACGTAGTTTACCTCTCTAACGGAATGCTGTCACTGAACACTAAAAGTTTTGTACTTCTGGCTAAATAAATAAAAAACTTCAAAATTTTGTTAACAAGGAAGAATCTTTTACAGTGCATAAAATTAAAATGAGAAAACTGTGCTTGAAGCAACGAGTCCCGTGAGTTAGGAAACTCTTAAACGAAGTGACTGTGTCCATCTACAAACCGGTGATTAAGGATTCCTCTATCAAGATGCTTAAATTAGACTTTGGCAGCTGAGGCTTGTTTCCGAAGCAGACATGCGTTACATTCTCTTCATATCGAATACATATTGTCACTTGTTTGATGAACCGTGAGGAAGCTGTAACTGAAGCAGGTTTCAGCTACCATAGGAACGGAAACGCTCTCGGATTTCACCTGAGGGTTGGTGCCAAACAAATTTAGCTTGCTGGCCTGAGAACTAAGAGTAGTGAGGAAGCAGAGGAGATTTTCTGCTTTGTGAGCGACAGTCAGAGAAGCACCATAATTCTAAGTTCCCCCATTACATATCAGGACTGATTGGAGTCCACGGATCATGCCAGCAGGAGCAGTTAGTTATATCGGCTAGGCTATGAGCCTGTAACACACAACTCTGATTGCATCATCGTGTAACCAGAGTAGCTGCTTACTGAGCCTCTGCATCAGGGAGATAGAGACCAGAATGATTTCCTAGAGGCATATTGGTCTGATTCTCTCAGGTTTGAAATGGGAAAGGAAAGAAAGCACAAAAGTCATTTTCAGCCATTCTCAAGGCTTCAGTTGAAATGCAGGACCATACTTTTATATAAGTTTTATGTACAATATTAGTATCTATATTCCTCATCCCATTCAATCCTTACACTCAAACAGAATATGTATGTGTCTTGCAACACAGAAACTTGCTATCTACACTAAACAAATGGCTTGCACCGTTTAAGCAACATTACTATAATGTAGCATTAGCAAGAGTCGCTTTCAGTTACAGGTGCCCTCTGATAAACCAGAGTGCTTGTATCTGCGTGGTACTGCCCATACAAGGCATAAACAGTAGTTGCAAGCACATTGACAACAACAAATCTTATCCATGCTTCATAATGCAACTGCAACGTGGTAAAGAGATCAAAGTTAAATTGTATGGTATGTGGGCTTAGTCTAAATTAAGTTCTAAGCGTGTACCTGAGCAAATAAGAAGATATTGAAGAAAATGCATACGCATGGCACTATGGGCACACCAGGACAGGTAAACCCAGAACCCAGAGACTGAGCATAAGCCTGGAAGCAAAAAGCTGACGGGTTAACATGAAGCACTAATAGGAAGGCATTTGCCTGTTTGTAGAGAAACCATGCGGGTACATGTCAACTACATCCTCGTGTAATTTCCAAATTGATGTTAACAAATTTCTCCTCTAAACCAAGAAAGCAAAGTTACTTCAACATTCACAGACCTTTCTTTAGAGAACAAGAGTCACGAACCAGAATTAAAACTCAACAGCCTCTTTATTAAGATATAAAAGACAAGAACAAGAAAACCAAATCCCAAAGAGAACTAATTTCTCTTCCATCTGCCAAACCCGATAGGAACCTCCAAAGCACTAGCTTGTCTCTATATACAATAAAATCTATTCCTAAAACCCTATGAGAAAAGTAAATAAGAAATTAGTAATCCTGAATAATTTCCTAAATAGCTAAATAGAAATATTCGTAACACTTTCAACGTATCACTGTGGAGTTCTAAGTGCCAGAACATGCTACTGGTCATCTCTATTTTATGATGTATCACTAAAGGACTAAGTATCTAGAACTTTAACATTAGTAACCCTTCTTTTTGGCGCTATGGAATTAAGAAGAGTGTTAGCGATTATACTTAAGGCTACTTACTTTGCGATAATGAAGAACTGCTGAAGCAACAACTGCCACAGCAACAGAGAGGAGAATAAATATAACTGAAGCACTGAAACGGTATAGTATGCCAGCACCAAAACCACTGCATGCAATTATAACAAGGCAAATGACACCTTCCTGCCAACTTGATGTCCATCTATTGGACGACTCTCTTTCTTTTTTATCATTCAGTCTCAAAGCCACAACACAAGCCGCAACAACTGAATACCCAGTCTGAAACAATGGAACACCGAAAATAATGTTAAACTGGAAAGTATAAGTATCAATTAGAAAACTGAGGGATTCAGAAAATTAAGACCATGACGTACCAATGTACCAACGGACAGAATATGGGAAAGACTATGTACATTAAATATGCCAGCTAAAACGCCAGCTACAACGCCACACCAGATTTGAGAATGAAGAGGTGTATGAAGAGTTGGGTGTATTCTGGAAAAGATTGAAGGCAATAGACCATCCCTTCCAAGTCCCAGATATAACCTGGACTGTTTATCCGAACTATCATATGATTACTCAGGGATACCTTGGTTCGCATGAGCATACTAAAAGGAAATTACAAAAGAAATCCAGGTACATATATATTTGTTTCACCTGTACATAAAGACCAACAAGCAGAGTAGTCGTGAGTCCAGCAACAGCACCAATACTGATTAAGACTGAGACGAACTTCATACCCTTTGATGAAAAGGCTTCAGCTAAAGGAGCATCTTCACTGAGGAGGCTAAAAGGGACCATCCCGGTGAGCACTAAACATACGCCAATATACAGCGAGATACAAACCAGAAGGCTCCCCATAATTCCGATTGGCAGATCACGCTGAACAGGAATTTAACAGATATAAGAAACTGTGTAGATAGTAAATACTTTAAACAAAGATATGGGCAGACCTGGGGGTTCTTTGATTCTTCAGCAGAATTAGCAACTGCGTCGAATCCAACATATGAAAAGAACACTACAGTAGCACCAGTCAGAACTGCTTTAAAACCATTAGGCGCGAAAGGAGACCAATTTGCTACATCAATTTCAAAAACACCAGCACAAATCACAACGAGAACAATCACGACCTACAGAAGAACCAATACATTCAAGATGAGTTTCCGTGATGTACGGTATAATAAGAATAGTTTAAGGAGACAAGTTTACCTTGGTAGCAGTCATAAAGGAGTTGACAGCGGAAGATTCCCGCACACCCTGGCATAAAAGGAGGGTCAAGAGAGCAAGTAAAATGGGAGCCAAAATATTTAAAGAGAGAACTCCTCCTAACAGCTCCTTGCCGCTTCCCATCCAGAGAGGAATAGAGCCCTTGAAAGCTGGAAAAAGCTCAAGAAGAGCAACTGCATAGCTTCCCAAACTACGGGAGATACTAGCGGCGCCAATATGATAATCAAGCATGAGTTGTACGAAAACGAGAAAAGCTGTGATCTCATTGAAAGCTGAATACGAGTACATGTAAGCTCCACCAACAACAGCAGGGAAACGAGATGCAAGTTCAGCATAACAGAGAGCGTTCAACACACACGATGCTCCAGCTAGCAAGAAGCTGATCGTGACTCCTAAGGCAACAGTAATAATCAATCGGAAGTGTAGTTAAAGTTAAGCACTAAGCGATTCTCAAGGAATCGAAGGGGATGATGAGAAAAATATTCATTCGACTGACCAGGTCCAGCATCACGAGCGACGGTTCCGGTAACGACGAATACACCGGCGCCTATGGAAGCGCCGACGCCCAACAAAATGAGGTCGAAAAGGCCGAGGCGACGAAGCAGAGAGTCGGGGGAGGTGGCAGTTTGCGATGACGGAGGAGCCAATAATTTATATCGGCGAGCTGAAGCACAGAAATGAGAGAACCATGTGGCGGAGGAGAGGTGGTTGCTGGAACCTTCGTGGCCTCCCATGGAAAACTTGAAATGAGAGTTGAAGGTTGGGTGGGAGACAAAACGACTGATTAGATCGAGACGATGAAATCACCCGGATCCGGATCTATCCAATAACCCGGCGGTAATCAGAATCTAAATGTAGAAGTATTGGGCCAAACATAAGGCCCGATAAGGACCAGGTAACCACTCTTTAGCGATGCTATATGTACATTCATTATCTAACACAGGCTTGAAATGAAACAACAGGAAAGCGATTAGAATAGATACATTTATTAGAGCATGGGCATTGGTAAGACTTAGATTTAGGTCCCATTGTTATTTTAATAATTTTTTGATGAAGGGACAAATGTTTAATTTGTATGTACGAGCATTGGTGTCCTACGTATTTTGTCCCACGTTAAAAAAAATCAATTTTTTAAATTCTTTTATTTTAACTTATAAGTAAAAACATTTGAAATATTGGATTAATATATAACATATTAAGATTGGAAAAATTGAAAAATTACAAAGTTACAAAAACATGAAAAAACATAAAACATACGATAAAGACATTAAAAACATAAAACATAAAACATACAAAGAAAAAAATATTTTATTGAATTTTTAGAAATTTGGAACTTAATATTCATTATCTGGAAGATGTCCAAAAGTACTCCAAATATGCTCAATCAAATCTTTTTTAATTGTTCATGGGATTGTCTATCCCAAACTCTTGTTCAACAAGTAATCGTTGTGCCGATATTTGAATCCACACCGGCGGTACCAATGGTATATGTTTGATTAACATCTTCTCTGTGTTGAAATTCAGAAACATTTGGGAGACTGTGTGTATGTCGTTCATCTTCCACAATCATATTATGGAGTATAATACATGCTTTTATAACATTTGCTATTTTATTTTTATCCAATAAAAGAAAAATGATTTTTTTTTTAATAATGGCAGACTCTGAGAAAAAGAGAAAAAGGAATACACGAATCGACCCCAAAAACAAATTTTCCTTCACTTATCCATAAACCAATCAACAATGTACACGTGGCCGGAAGGACGGACGTATTTCGTCCCTTTTGTAAGAACGTTTCTTCTATTATTATGCATATTTGATTTATTTTTAAATAATGTAATGTGTAGGACTTGTGATATTAACGGCGATGTCCATGCTCTTAGATACAAGATTGAAGATACCTGAAAGACAATGATCACTAGACTCCATGAAAATCAATTACTCTAGTATTTTAAAAACATCTCAGCCTTACCTTATCTATGTTGGGATAAGCTAGCTTATACTAGTAGTAAGAATGTAATAAGCTCCTTCGTGCTGCGTGTAAAGAAACGAGTAATTATTGAATCGGTTCAAGATTCCTTTGTATGTCCATATTTTGCAGTATATATATATAGAGAGAAGAACATCGAGTAAAACGTGACTGATTCCCAGCAACTGCTTATCAAGCTCTCCTCCAATAATATTTTAAAACTAACGAGGAGTCGTGTGTATTCATTCATTCCCCCCTTTATATATATCTTCTCGCTTTTAAAAGGGCTTTTTACATTGCTCCCGCATAATTGTATATCATTTATCACCAGCTCACTCTATCTCAGCAAGTAGAGTAGAGAACCCATGCCACATCCATCTCTCCCACCTTGTTTCATGGCACCGGATGCCTCCTCCTGCAGTACAACATTATTAGTTCCATGATTCTTATCTCAACCAAATCGTACTTCATGTCTTTTCCGGATGGTTTTCTACCTAATCAATGAAGAAATCTTATCTGAGATCTGGAGAATGTAACATCGTTACCTACCTCTTGGGCCTGCTTCGCTCCTCTTCGTAGTCCATCACCCCACTTGGTTCACCAAATATCTCTTCCTGCCCTCTGAATTCAAGGTCGGCCGGCCCACAGTGTGCAACTACTGCCACAATGTAAGTAAGACAACATAGAAAACTATCTCCCATTGTTCAATTCATAACAGTCTTCATTTTCAATTATCATCACCTACTTTTACCAAATGTTAACTACTGGCTGCTCTCTTGGGAAAGACTACGAATATTTATTTGGTTCTACAACTAGGATTATTTTGTTTCGTGAAAGCACATGATTCTAGTTTCGTTAAGGGAGCAATCATCCCATTCCAAAACACAATAACTGACTAAATATTGCAAAACATATAACTGACTACCAATGTCATTGTTGGCTGTGTATAACATACCAATTCTCTATGGTAAATTTTAGCAAAAATAGCTAACTCCAAACATGTTAACAATCAACAATGAAAGAACAATCAGCCACAATTTACCAGTACCTTCATGGAAAGAGACTTTTTCACTTCTACGTCCTTTCGATTTCTATTGACTGCTTCACTCATATTGTCAGCCCTTTTATCTTATCTTGAATCGAAACCAGCAGGTCTTCTGATGTACTCAACATAAAAATCAATTATGTGCACACACATATAAACTGACTCCAACATTGAGACAACAAAAACTCGTTCATGAGAAGGTCTCTCACATAAAATCTCAATAGAAGGGTAATGATATGTAACAAGTTTAACTAAGTTCCTCAAATAACATATAAGTATAGAAGAGCATGGGTCCAAAGCAGAAGAGATGATATAGATTAACGAAGCTACCAATTTTCCAGTTTGTGAATCATATTCCTAAGCTGTCCAGGCCTTAGACCTCTACCAGCTGCAAACTGAACTTGGATGTTTGCAAGAAAAAAAAAACTGGTTCAAGAGGTGCTGGTAGATCTAACGAAAAGCACAACGATCATACAATTGGAATGTGAGAAAAAGCAAGTACCTCAAAGCATCTTTTCAACTGATCGAGTTTACCTCTAACTATACCCTGCAAAAATTTTAAAAGTCAGCACCGTATATTTACACATTTCTCCATTGTCACACTTCACTTGTCTGTGCAACTTCAGATTTTGTATCACAAACAAATACAGTTATTACTCAAAAAGAAAAGCTTTAGTCCAGAAAAGCTTTACTCAAAAACAAATACATGCATTCATTGATAAGAAAATCTTCGAGCTCACGTACGTTTTTGATATCTAACTCGGGCATCAGTAAATCATAAGGCAATACCTGAAAAATAAGAACATATCGTAAGGACATTATATATAATTTAACTACATATCAAGAGTCCAGAAAAATAGATCGAAATCAACAAAAACTAGAAAGAAAGAACAAATCATAGTGGTCAACCACCAACAGACAAAGAAGATATACCTTGTTTATCTCCGCGAGAGTAAGGACAGTGAGCTGCTTCAGCTTAAGAAGCTGATCAGGAACCAATTGGGGAATACAGCCAGTGTTACCTAGAGCGTCAGGAAATAAGGAAATAAGAAGACGCAGTGAAAGTATATCATCCAAACAAAACATAACACGTAAGACAGTAGGAAAAATAAACAACAACCAAATCCTTTAACTATATATATATATGAAAAACGAAATGGAAGAGTAAAGCTTCCAGTCATACATTTGTAATCACTCCAGGTGCCATGTGCGAATAACCGTAGTACATCCAGATCCAGGTATACAGAATTAGTGGTTCCTTTAAGCTGCATGCAGAGAAGCTTGAGAAACCGAACAATGTGAACATGCAATTATAAAACGCAGAGGTTTGAAAATTAACAACTGAGCTCCGCAACACCAAACAGAAAAGTTAAATATAATCACAGATATAAACAACACCACTTTCCAAGGCATGTGGAAATAAACAAAAACGAAATCATTAGCGTTTGAGCTTGTTGATCCAAAGTCCAAACCAATGAGTGAACTAAAAAAGGACTAGAGCAATAGCAAACATTGAGAAATATGTCTAATCCACTTCCAGTATTTAAAGCTAGATGACTCCAGAATCAAACCGTACCGCCTATGAAAGATGCTAGGTCGAGAGGACCTCGGCAACATAAGGCAGAAGCAAAATCTCTGAGAAGGCAAAAAGCGAAGGATGCGAAGTAGCTTCTCGTAGGATAGATGCAAGAGTATCGCCTTTGGATACAGAAGCTCGTTTAACGAATAGATCGATTATTTCCGCCTGCTTCTGTTCGATGTCCATCTTCAGGTAAGCTCGAGGGCCTAGAATCTACTACAGAAACAGAGAGAGCAATGGAATTATGGTTTTTTTATCCAGAGCACAAAATTCGATTTGGAAGAGAGGAAGCGAAGTGACACGTCTCTCTCTCTACTTTTTCCTCCTGTATCTTCTTCTTTCTTACTCAGACTGGGCCGAGGCCTGATACTTATCAACGATCCGATTATATCAATGATATAAAACACAGTATGTTTTAGTTTTACAACGGTAAAAATAGAAGATGAACGTTATTATTTATCACTAGTTATCTTCTAGATTATGTGATTGAATTAAGAAACAAGACAATTTGAGAGAGGGAAGTAACTAACTAATTAATTATAGACATGTAGGAAACAAGTTCAGAGTATAGAGACACTAAGCAAAAGAATGAGAAGGGTGTACGTAGTAGAATGAAGACAAACCAAAAGGAGATAGGATATTATGGGTCTTCAAACTATAATAATAGAGACTTCACTAAAGACGAGCAACCACTGTTGGCGGTCTGATCTGCACTGTTGGCGGTCTTGCTGGTTGACTTGGCATTCTTCATCCAAACCCCCAAACCCAATTCCTGCATTATTAGACCATACAAATAGCTACCGGAATTCCTCCTTTTACGTGCATCTATGGCATTGATGCAAAAGCTATATCTCTCTTTAATGGACGCATCCATAGCCATGATTATGAAAGCCTGTTCCACGTTGGTGGCATCTTCTGCACTGGTCTCCATGTTGCTGACTCGCCGCCTACTAGAGGAACTTTAATATTAATTTAATTGGATAAAAATTGTAGTTATCATTTTATGTTGCCATATAGATCAAATAATCTAATTGGTACGGTGTAGTTAGGAATCACGAAATACGAACAACTCTAGAGTGACTGACATATTACAATCCGAAATAAACAAAAGTGATTAGATGTCACTTGGAATACTCTTTCTCGTGCTCAAGTTTATCGGCAGCAATCCACAATATCGTTCCACGCAATTTAGATTAGCTTTTATTTATCTTCAAATTTTAAGGTTTATTAAGCTTTTGTCTTAGGAAAATATCTATTTATTGAGCTCGACGTCTTGTTGACCTTGTTCAGGTTTGTTGGACTTGTAATTTTCTTTTCCTGATGAAAATTTAAAGTTAGAAAAAGTGAGTTGAGTTCAGAGTGTAACGTGAATATCAAACTTAGAAAAAGTATAAGACTGACTAATTGATTTGGTAATTGGTACTGTCAAAATAGTAAACCAAAACTTGGGGGCGAAGGAGGAGGACAGAAAATTTTCTATTTTCTTTTTGGTTTTTGTTTGGTTCCAAAAAAAAAGAAATTTTGTATTGGTCTTTGGGCCTTGGAACTCTCTCTTATCATCATCAATTCATCATCATCTTCCTCGACCAAGCATCCCTGAAATCGATCAGCTGGATCTCCGTTGATGTGATGCATCAGAAGAAATCGGAAGCTCAGATCGGAAAAGAAAGCAGCGGCGTCTCTTCCGATTTCAATCCTTCTCCCCCTCTTCTTTTCTTCCCTCAGATCGTGTCTCACCACCACCACCGTGATCCCTCTATCCCAGCCGCCCCTTACAGGCGTCGCTTCGCTCCTTCTCCTCCTCCTCCTCCTTCACCTTCTCTGCCGCGCTCTCTCCGGCGCTTGCCTCTCCTTCTCTTTCTCCTCCCTCTCTCTTACTTCCTCCTCTCCCATCCCACTCGCTCCTTCCTTGTCGATTTCCTCTCTGCCTTTGGTTTTTCCGCCGCACTTCTTTTCTCACTCAATCTCGCCCTCCCTCGGCTCCCTTCGATCCGCTTGTTCCTCGCGCGATCCTTCCCTTCCCCTTCTAGGACGACCCCTTTGCCCGTCTTCTGGTCCATAGGCTGTCGCCCTAAATCTGACAAGAGGAGTAGCTCCGGGTGCTGGGTCCAACTCTATAGCAACGGTGACGTTTACGAGGGAGAGTTCCACAAGGGCAAGTGTTCCGGCACCGGCGTCTATTACTATTCCATGAGCGGCAGGTATGAAGGTGACTGGCTCGATGGCAAGTACGACGGCTACGGTGTTGAGACCTGGGCCAGAGGCAGCCGTTACATGGGCCAGTATAGGCAGGGCCTTCGCCACGGTTATGGGGTTTACAGATTCTACACTGGAGACATGTTCTCCGGCGAGTGGTCCAGCGGACAGAGTCACGGTTGCGGAGTTCACACCTGCGAAGACGCTAGTCGCTATGTTGGGGAGTTCAAGTGGGGCGTCAAGCATGGTCTTGGTCATTACCATTTCAGGTAACTTGAATAAATGTTACTGTAACGATTTACTTGGCCATTTTTGTAGTTAATCGTCAACCACAACCAATTCCTGTCATGTGTTGTATTTTATTATTTGGGTGTGGCAACTGTGTCCTGGATTATTAAAGCTGGCTTTCCTTTGAATTGTACAATCTCTCTCTTTATCTCTGTTAGCTACAGTCTATGAGTTCCTGTAAATTGTATATCTGATCATTATATCTTGTTTGTTTAACTAGGAACGGGGACGTATACGCAGGAGAATACTTTGCTGACAAGATGCATGGATTCGGGGTCTATGGGTTTGCAAATGGTCACCGGTATGAGGGAGCTTGGCATGAAGGTAGGCGGCAAGGGCTGGGGATGTATACATTCAGAAATGGAGAAACACAGTCGGGCCATTGGCAAAATGGGATCCTTGACATTCCAAGCACTCAAAATACGACTTGTCCCATATCTCCTGTTGCAGTCAACCATTCCAAAGTGCTAAATGCAGTCCAGGTTGGTCCCTGCAACTTATAAGTAAGAGCAAGTCTTCTGGTTTCTTATATACAGTAGTATTAATCCAATACAATTTGTATTCACAGGAGGCACGAAGAGCAGCCGAGAAGGCTTATGACGTAGACAAGGTTGATGAGAGAGTTAACAGAGCGGTTGCAGCTGCCAATACAGCAGCCAATGCTGCAAGAGTGGTGGCCTTCAAAGCTGCCCAAAAACAATCTAAAAACATGGACAATTTTCCAATTCATGTCGTGTGAACCAATTCTAGTACACAGGCGAAGGAAGAAGCAACCATCTAGTTGACAAGCATTAACTCAAGAGACTGTGTTGGGGAGCAATGCAAAACTCTGGTTAGTGTGTTCGCTCATGGCTAACTCATGTTTTGGATTCCTTTATTCCAAGGCGTGGCAGAGACATAGGGCTATAGAGTGGATCGTGGATAGTGAATCCTGAATCATGAATCTGGCAGACAACTGAGTTGTTTTAACTTTTATGTGTAAGTCTCAGTAAATTAATCAACAATTTTGAAAAACTCTCATGTAAAAGTGGGCCGGAGCTCACCACCATATCATATGGGGAAATTCCTTGTCATTGAATTTAAGAAAACGCACGTACATTCAAAGATCCATGTTTATCTAAAAAAGTCGAAGACTACTCATTCTTTTTGTTTAAAACGCATACAAAAAAAAGTAAAGAATGAGTATTCCCTCTTAGCTTATCTCTTGCCAAAAGGTTAAGACGTTTGTTTCCATAATCTATTTTTTGTTTTAAATTAAAATTATGATTATTGTGAAGTATAAATATTTTAGACTATCTATTTCTTCTTTTTTTTTTCCACTTTTTCTTATTCGTTTCCCAGAAATTTTTTTTAAAAAAAGGATTTTGTTCCATAGTACACAATACACATATATAAATTAGGCGAGGCATTTGCTTTTCACGTCATTCCGTCTTGGCCACGTTTTGTAGACCTCTAAAGTGCATCGAAGAATCCCTCTGTTTCTGTCCAAGAATGGACGAATTTGAAGGGTTGAAGAGAGAGATTGAGAGACTTGTGAATATGGTAGATCCGAAGAAGGACGAATGTCAGGAAAAAAGAGTAATAGAAGAAGAAGTTAGCGCGAGCCGTTCTGTGGTTGTGGGGTTTCTCGAAGACGAGATCGATAGAAAAGAAGAAGTCCTTCTTAATGCGATCATCAGGTTGATGAAGGTAAGTGTTTGTAAATCTTGGATCCCAAAAGAGATATATTATACGGGTGTCATAGGTTATAAATTTGTTCATCGATCAGATTTACAGTGAACTGGATCAACCCTTGGATGAAAGAAGATATTTGGGACTATTACAAGTTGATGAAATGAGAGCCGCCTGCCTCGGCCACAAAGTGACGACGGTGAACGAAACCGATGAGCAAGCTTCTGAGAGAGCGGATTTAATCCGAAGTTTTTGGCAACAAAAAATTGCCGAGTCGTCCGAGTTGGTCTCTGAAGGGGAGGAGGTCCCGTTTAAGCCCTACGATCCAAGCGCTTTAGAGGCACTCAAAGCGAGCTCGGGTGAAAAGGTTTACAGGCTTGTCAGGAGGGGCTTTCGTGAAGTGCGCGTGGCTGTGCGGCTTAGGGTTTTGTTAAAACCTTGGAATCTTGAACAAGGAAGAGAATCTACTATAGAAGGATATGTTTAAGTAAATAGAATATAGGGATTATCTTGTAAATACTTTTTACCCTATGTCTCCTCTGTACTATATATTCTTGTAATTGGTCATTTGTTAATATTAAGAAATATTCAGAACCTATATGGTATCAGAGCATTAAGATCTCTAAAACCTAAAATTTTCTTTTGCTCTTCTCACTACGCCGCTTCCATGACAACTTCAGGCACAAACTCTCCCTCCAATGGTGAAGTGATCTACACCAACACTCAGGCTGCACTCTTCAACGTGAATACGTCCAATGTTACAAAGCTTAATGACATCAACTACTTGATGTGGAGTCTGCAGATCCATGCGTTGATCGATGGTTTTGAACTCGCTGGCTATCTCGATGGCTCCATTGCAGCTCCTCCTGCCACTGTCACAAACAACAATGTCACTTCTCCAAATCCTGATTTCTCCATTTGGAAGAGACAGGATCGCCTCTTGTTCAGTGCTCTTCTAGGAGCGATCACTCCTCCGGTTCAACCACTTGTATCTCGTGCCACCACAGCAGCCGAAATCTGGGAAACACTTGCTTCCATCTTCGCAAACCCGAGCCGCAGTCACATCCAACAAATCAAAGGTCAACTCAAGCTTTGGACAAAAGGAACCAAAACCATTGATGAATACGTCCGAGGCATTACCATTCGTCTTGATGAACTTGCTGCTCTAGGAAAACCCATGGAGCATGAAGATCAACTTGAAGTGATCCTTGGTGGTCTTCCTGAGGATTACAAACCCGTTATTGATCAAATTGAAGCAAGAGATGTTTCACCGTCCATCACCAATGTCCATGAACGTTTACGTAATCGAGAAGCTAAGCTTGCAACCCTCAACTCAGTCCCAACTACCACAAATTCAACCACCACACCAAGCCATTTTACCAAGACCACAGAACCAAAATCAAGTTGTTGAACAACAACCAAATATCCACAAGATGATAACTCGAGCCAAAAATAATATACACAAACCTAACCCCAAACATAGTCTCGTTGTTACTGCTCGCAGGTCGATAAAGAAAGAACCAACAACAATTTTTCAAGCCTTGAAAGATCCAAACTGGAGCCGTGCATCTTCTCTTGAGTATGATGCCTTAATCGCTAATCAGACATGGGACTTGGTATCTCCGAATGCGCAGCAAAACATTGTAGGATGCCGATGGGTCTTCACAACCAAATATCTTGCTAATGGAGCTCTTGATCGCTACAAAGCTCGCCTTGTTGCTAAAGGATTTCATCAACAATATGGGAAAGATTATGCTGAAACATTCAGCCCGGTAATTAAGTCAACCACAATTCGCGTTGTTCTTGATGTTGCTGTCAAGAACTCATGGCCAATCAAACAACTTGATATCAACAATGCATTTCTTCAAGGCGATTTAACTGAAGAAGTTTACATGTCTCAGCCGCCGGGGTTTGTTGATAAAGATAGACCTATGCATGTATGTCGCTTGAAGAAACCGATCTATGGGCTTAAGCAAGCACCTCGCGCCTGGTATATGGCTCTCAAACAACATCTTCTACATGCTGGTTTCACTAATTCTCTTGCTGATGCCTCACTGTTTATTCGAGGATCCGGGTCTCATCTCACGTATGTTCTTGTCTATGTCGATGACATCATCGTTACCGGTAATCACTCTGACACAATCGCATCAGTTTTAACCTCCTTTGCTGATCGTTTCTCCATCAAAGATCCTGTTGATCTTCATTACTTTCTGGGCATTGAGGTTTCACGCTCCTCTAGTGGTATACATCTTATGCAAAGGAAGTATATTACTGACCTTCTACTCAAGAATAACATGCTCGATGCTAAATCAGCCTCAACACCACTTCCTACGACGCCAAAGCTTACAGTGAACAGTGGCCTCGCTCTTGATGATGCTTCACAATACCGATCTGTTGTGGGGAGTTTACAATACCTCTCTTTTACTCGGCCAGATATCTCATATGCAGTCAATCGTCTATCCCAATTTATGCATCGTCCGACACATGATCATTGGCAAGCTGCCAAACGCATTCTTCGATATCTTGCTGGTACTACTACTCATGGGATTTATCTTCATGCCTCTTCCCCGGATACACTACATTGCTTCTCTACGTCACCTTATAAACTTCAAGGATACTCGGATGCAGACTGGGCTGGTGATACAGATGATTATGTCTCCACAAATGGTTATGTCATATATATTGGACGCAATCCTATTTCTTGGTCATCAAAGAAGCAAAAAGGTGTGGCTCGCTCCTCCACTGAGGCTGAATATCGGGTTGTTGCGAATACGGCTGCGGAGGTGAGATGGTTATGTTCTTTATACACTGAACTACGCTTGAACCTACCTTCTACTCCAGTGATATATTGTGATAACGTTGGCGCTACGTATCTTTGTGCGAATCCTGTCTTCCACTCACGTATGAAGCATATTGCTCTTGACTATCATTTTGTTAGGAATCAGATTCAGTCCAACATGTTACGGGTTTCTCATGTATCTACACACGACCAGTTGGCTGATACACTTACCAAACCACTTCCGAGAGGGCAGTTTCAGCAAGCATGTTCCAAGATTGGAGTAATCCAGCTCCCTCCATCTTGAGGGGGCGTATAGAAGGATATGTTTAAGTAAATAGAATATAGGGATTATCTTGTAAATACTTTTTACCTTATGTCTCCTCTGTACTATATATTCTTGTAATTGGTCATTTGTTAATATTAAGAAATATTCAGAACCTATATCTACTCTTTCCGACTTACTTGGTCAGCTTCCAGAGGCAATGCGACAGCGCTCTATGGCTCGGAGGGCCCAGATACTACGTCGTTCCTAATTTTTCCGGTGTTATCAGTTTATATACAATTTAAGGATTCTTGGTTCTTGATCCCATCGGAAGTTCCATTTAGGATATGAATTAGGTTTGTGTGTCGGCGCTGTAATTCAGGATTTCGCGGCCAGTCTAGTCTTATAATTAACGTGGTTTTTCCTTTTCCTTTTGGTTTTTACTGCTCCAAGTTAATAACATAATTTGCAAAGATTCACAATCATACCAATTGAAATGGCTGGAAGAATTTTATAATCACAGTTCGCACCAAAACTAAAATATAATAATACAAAAAGTACAATCGTGTCGGCGTAAATCGAAACCGACTTAGTTGTTTCCCCAGTCTTTTTGCTCGCCGATTCAGACCTCATTAGGGTTCTTGCTTACACAGGGTTCCATCAAATTGTTGGATAGGCTACGAGGGGTTTCTCTGTTACTCGATAAAGCTTCGTAATTCATTCTCAGTTGGTGATTTTCTGTACTTTCTCGTACATTACATGGGCTAGGCACGCACCATAGTTCCTTCGAGGAAGACGAGAGAGTTAGAAGAAGGTCAATGCAAGCAACATTAACAACATAATCCCTTTACTGTTTGCCACCAGAGTAAGGGGCTTTTGATCTGCCGTTCGTGTATCAAGTCTCAAATTGCATCTCCTGGATTCTCTGATTTCTTTGTAGCCCTTTTCGCTGTTATTAACGCCAAATTCGCTCAAGTCACTCCACTTCTATTCAAAAGGGTCGTGTTGCTGTCCAAATCTTAAGGTTTTCTCAAATATTTTGATTTTTATATATCATATCTATACTTTGTTATGTATCATGTTTGTTTTGCCAGCCTCAACTCCTCGCTCCTGTAATATTTAGGGAAATTTTTTATAGCGCATCTAGTAAACCAGCAAGTCGCTGAGGAGATCATAGCACTTGAATTAGCTGCCGTACTTCTGGAAGACCCAACTGATGACAGTCTCGAGATGGCTGTTGCGTTTGTGACGGAGTGTGGTGCGATGCTTCAAGACGTTACAAAGGATTGCATGGTAAAAATGCTTTCAACCTCCCCTTTTTTTTTTTGGTTGGATACAAATTTTGTTTTGTTATGTTAAAGAAACATTAGACTATTTGTATTATGGGTTGTGTTAGATATAACAAGCTAGTTGCGTTAGGTGGCCAAGTTTTTTTGCCCTCTCCCCTAGTCACATTCGGTTAACTCATCTCGTATCTTCATTAAGATCCTTTTCCATGTAACTAAACTCATTTCACCATTTCCTGAAACTCATTTTACCATTTCAGAGCTGCTCATCTCATGAATTTGATTGAAGATAGCTTGATGTGATTGATTGATTTCTTGTTTCGTATTTAATTATGAAACTATGGATATGTTGCTCCCCAATTAGGACTCTGCTGATGAATGGTTTTTGAGACTGTTGTGCTGATTTGGTTACAACTTTGCATGGATTGCAGGATAATCAGAACACTTGGGGATTAGGCTGCTTAATTAGAGGTTTCACGATCCAAAGATGCAGGAATCACATGAATTTATCTTCCCTAAAGATAATCCAAAGAATATGAGGTTTGCAATCAACTTCTTTACATCCATTGGTCTTTGTAGGCATCACAGAAAAATCTCATAGGGTATTTGAAGAACATGCCATGCCTCGTCACGCGACAGCAGAAGCAAGTTGTGAAATCAGAAACATGAATACATGATCATCATCTGGATGTGACAGTTTTGGTTCCAAGTATGAATCTGAGTCAGACTCATCCTCTTCTTCGTTCGGATGAAAGCGACAGAGAGAAGAGGAATAGACTGATGAGATGGGGTCTCACGGTTCTCTCATCCTTTCTACTTTGCAATTCTCATGATGAATCTAGGCAGCAACTGTTCTTTGATTGTGCATTTGCTGTAGAGGTCTGGTCATTCTTCACAGGCAAGGCCCATGTTTCTCCAGAATCTTTACAGTAAAGGAGAGTTGATCCTCAACATCTTTGCATCCGTTCTTTTTTTTTTTTTTTGAACACCACTTCATTAACGCTTAAATGTCAACATCTTTGCATCCGCTCTTTCTTATTCATTTAATTTCACAATCATTTAAAACTATTCATACATAAAGACGTATGACTGACGACAATTGAAAATAAAGAATGTGTTAAAAAACGACAAGAATCAATGATTAAGTGGAAGAAAAGAAGAGAGATGAATATGCATACAGACCAGTTTCCTACCTACTACGTATATATTGCTCACATTGAAACACTTACGTTGAATGATCAACTCTTCTCGACCCCCTTCGTCTTGACCCGCTTTCAAGACTTCCAAGGAAAACTCAGCAAGCTCTATCCCCTCTATGCCACTTGGTTCGTACACATGAACGACGTCTAAAGACGCAAGACCATTTAACAAAATTGTCTAAAGACCCAAATACGAGATGAAAGGATCCTAACATATTATATGAACCGTGATATCAAATTGGGCCTTGACCCACTAGGCTTGCTTATAAATAGACAAGGCTTTTTTGCATTTCACGTCATTCCGCTTCGCATCTTTTTTTTTTATCAGAGCTCTAAATTTCATTCAAGAATCACTCGGTTTATCTCAATCTCTGTTAGAATGGAAAGACTGGGAGAACTTGAGAGGCTGACGGTAGAAATCAAGGCCCTGAAGGAGAATTTGAAGGCGAATATTGATAAAGTTCTTTTAAGAAGAGTGGAAGAAGAAAGTGAAATCCCAGAAGAAACGAAGGAAGAAAGTGAAATTGCAGAAGCAAAAAAGAAAGATGATGATTTGGTATTATCTCTAGAAGAGGAGATGGATAGGAAAGAAGAAGAAATGCTTGCTGCGAGTTGCACGTTGGTGGAGGTAACCTGTTTTGTTAATATCTTGGATTTGGCTCAAGGGATTCTAAAGATATGATCAACATTAGTCATATATTTTTGCTTCGTCAGATTTTCAGGGAACTTGATTGCTCCTTCAATGGCGCTGAAAGAAGAATGGGAAGACTAAGCACTCATGAACTCATAGAAGCCTGTGTCCGTTACAAAGACTTGGCGAGAAGCTGATCGAAACGGATATAGTATCGGTTCAAAGAGCGACTTCAATTAGGAATTTTTGGCAACCCAAAATCAGTGCTTTGTTCCATGCGGACCAAGAGGCGGACCAAAATCAGAGAGATTTAGTACTACTCAAAGCGAGAGCAGGTGAAGAGGTCTATTGGCTAGTTCGGAAGGGCTTCCGTGAAGCGCGAGTGGCTTCCAGGATGGGGTGTTATAAAAAACCATGGAATCTTGATGGAGAAGCTACACTTACCGAATTACTTGATGCGCTTCCATTGATAGTCCGACGGCGGCATACGAGGCCACGTCGTGACTCGTGATCAGTAGACTTCGCCTTTCTACGTTTAGGATAGATTGGGTTTTGTTTTTTTTGGTTCTTTCTTTCCTTTTTTCTTCTTTGTAGCCTTCTATGGTTTGGTTTGATACAGAAAGATGTAATCCGACTCGATTCTTAATTAATAAAAGCTCAACCGTTTTCTTGATCTCTGTTCTTTCGATTAATTGACTTCTGGCTCGACGACATTCATAGGTTTTGACAGAGGAAGGCTCTTGTACGGGCATCAAATTGGAGCGAAGAGAAATCTCCTTAGGATAACTCTGGCCAAAACAACAACTATTCCTTCTTCTACTAATTGGGGTGTATCTACATATCTAACTTCAATGTTATATTTTCTTTTTGGTTGTTATTTTTATTGGGATCCTGTTGGTTGGAGCTTGCAGCAATTAGATTACTGTTTGTGACTTGTGTCAGAAGATTCCTGTTTCTGACTTTGGTTTTCTGTTGTATGATGTTGTTGTGTAAAAAGTTGGATCGAGATGCAGAGGAAGAGCATTCTCAGGTGGCAGAGAGAAGATTAGCCAAATTAATTCTCTAGATCTTGAGAGTATACATATAGTTTTACATGAGTTGTGTGAAATACCGCCTATTAGCCTTTGTGAGGTTATAGCAAAGACCCAAAGCTTATGTCTATCAGTACAAGGAGACACTTTTGTATCACAAGTTGTAACTCAGTTTTTGAATTATGTTTATTCTAATTGTGGTTTTTTTCTCTGTCGTTTATGATGGAAAAAAGGACACTTGAAGGAGAGACAGCAGTATAGTAACTTTCGTCGAGATTCAGGCTGCGTACGACGAGCTGCTCATGGACTCATACAAGAAAAGACGATATAATATTACCGAGTGAATCCAATGAAGGTATATATAAGAATCACTAACTTTGGAATTCTCTGTTTGTCTCTTTGGAATTTTTTAGTATGAGATGTTGGGTTTGTCCGTTTGTGTATGTATCTCAAGCTTGGATGTAACGGTTGAAAAAAAAGCGTAAAGCATTTGGTCAGAAGGGCAACATGGTGATTCCAGCTTGCGCTGAGCAACAACAGCTTGAGATAAACATACCTGCTAGGCGTCTTTTCTGTTTCCGCTATTATTAGTCTCTCCATTGTTCTGAGTCGTTTTTGCTTCGTCTTTTCATCTCAAAGTTTGATATTACCATGAAATATTGCGACTCTTAACCAAACTCAATTATCAATCAACACTTCTGAAGTGTACATCCTGTCAAATATGAGAAAATTGGCGAAACAATGGCAAAATTGTCGAAGATAGAGAAACAATGGCAAATTTGAGGACATATCATGGTCGGAATCTGAGGTGTTACAAAAAGCAGTCTTGGAAGCTAGGAGTTGGCAGCAGGCAAAGCAGCTCCAACCGACAAAGAGAGCAGAGCACTTGAAGGCAGCTCCAACCGACAAAGAGAGCAGAGCGACTTCAAATTCATCCCGAAGCTTGGTTTGACTCAACGAGGGAGTTCGTCACGACTCTATGTGTCTTCTGCGCTTGTAGCAGAGACTTTAGCTTTGAAAGCGGCAATCACTGCGGCTTTAGCTTTGGGTGTTTTAAGGCTGGCCTGCAAATCAGATTGTCAAGATCTCATTGTTCTTCTCAATTCTGGTGGCCATGCTAATGTTCTTGATGGTCTGTTGGAAGACATTAGATTGCTTTCCTCTAACTTTCTTTCTATTTCTTTTCAATATGTTCCTCGTTCTGAGAATTTTGAGGCTGATACTTTGGCTAACGCTGGTTTGTTATCAAGTAATGTCTCCTCCTTGACTGAATTTTGAGCTTGATTTATATGAAATGTTGGTTTACAAAAAAAGAGGAACATCAATGGTTATGCATACTCAATAGCGTCCAAGAGGCGAAGTAATATTCCTTCTTCCTCCATGGTTCATCTATAAACGGTCACAGTTCCATCTTAGCCTTTTGTTTTCCAGGTTCAAAAAAATTAACTGTGTAAGCAAGGAACAGCGAGGATTAGTTGATTTTTCTTTCTTCACTCACACCACCTGCTAAGAACAGCTCATGGACAATACCGTTAGAATCTTTTAAACTACAACTGTGATTTAAAACCAAAAAGATATTTAATTTGAAAATAAAATAGTAGTTTAAACTCTAAACATACTAAACTAGTTATTATAACATTACATATATTTGAAAACCAGTAACTGTAATCTTGTTCTCCCCTTCCATTTGGGTTGTAATCCCTCCTTATGAGGTTGAGACTTACTTTTAATCAAATCTAGTTTGTTCAAGAAAAAAAGAAAGAAAACCAGTAAATGACAGATCAACATGAGCTGCATAATCATTCATGTCTCATACCAAGGTGGAAATGAAATGCTCAATACTTGGATTCGGTCACTGACTTGCTTGAAACTCGTGAAAGTTCTCACTCTTAGATGCCATTCTGGTACTTATGATCGAAAGTTCGAAACTTCTAACTTTCCCCTGAACTCCTTCTCCCATCCGAGCCTTATGTCACTCTCGCTACATTCATACAGTCTCGAAAGCTCACATCTCTTGAGAAACTGCTCGAATCTCAGGACCCTCAAACTTTTATCAATCGTCGCTCCCGAGATTGGAGTCTTTAACAGGGTACTCGCATCTTGCCCTTGTCTGGAGGTGCTTGTACTACATATCATTTGCGTCAGCAAAAGTATGGTTCCTTTGAAGATTGAGAACAACAAATTAAAGCTCTTGCAAGTGTCGTCTATGGAACTCATTGATGGCATTAGTGTGTCAACAACTAGTCTAGATATTCTCACCATCATAGATATCTGCTGTGGGAGAGATGGCCTTTCCCTCCAGTCTCCCCAACTCCAGTTTAATAGAAACTTTTGGGTTGCAGGGGCTTACGTGCCTCATATCAGCTACAACATATCAGGGGTACGAATATATATTGTTACACGTTTCAGATAAATGTATTTGGATACACAGGAAAAAGGAATTACGGAATTTGATTCTTTTGATCTTGAGTAGGAAAAGAGCATTGGGAATGAAGAATTTGTGAACAACATATATGGTGAGTTGTTGAGACTGATTGCAATTTTGTGGGCAGGCTTGTCTGTGAGTGTAGATTTAATGAATCGGACAGAAGTTGAGAGGTTACGACAAGTCTTAGGTTTATAGACTCATAAAATGCTCGAGCTTGAGATCATATTCAAGGTATGTACGTACATTCATGCTTCAAAGTGGAAGACTCATGACTACGGAGTCTTAATGTGCTGGTATGTGCAGGATAACAATGGTCCAACGGAAGAAAATGAGTCTTGGCAAAAAAAGTTGTGGGAGGAGAACAATAACAAAGATCCGTTCCCCAATGCTAAATTCCACGTAGATACTCTGTGGATGTATAACTTCAGCGGCTCAGAGGAAGAGTTTGCCTTGGTGTCGTGTTTCATAAGGCAAGGGACCGTGGTAGAAAAGTTGATGATCAAGACGTCATCCTTTCCTGCAAGGAAGAAGTTAAAGATAGAAGCTACAGTGGCCAAGCTACATGCACTTCAAACGAAGCTTACCATCGAATGTTTCTAAGCGAATTTAATTGGTTCTTAAGTTGAAATCTTTTCAATCTAAATTTAAGCAAGTGGTCTACGGTTTATAATATATTAGCTACGAACGTCTAAATATTTTTTTCTTCTGGTTCTGGGTCAAAAGTGATCCAAACGCCTTAGAAATATCGATCTTTATGGCACATCGACCAAAGATAGCTCTGGATTATATGTCAATACAAATTAATACAAATTAATACAAATTAAGTCGGATCATATGTCAATACAAATTAAGTGGTTTCACGGTTTCTTAACGCTATATGTAGGAAGCTCTGAACGCTTTGTGGAAGTAAGCTCTTCCTAGAGGAGCAACTCCGTGGTTTGATATCTAAGGAGTGGAAGAGAATTTGTTGTCAGAGGAAGGATCCCTCCACGGATTTTAGGTATCAAACCAGTGAATTACCTCTTCCTTTCTCCACTTGTTCATGCCTGATATGGTTTCCATAATTGTGCAGGGGAGGCAGATTTATATCGTTGGAGAATTTGTTGATTTTGTTGTTGTTAGAAAACAAGTATGCATTTGATATTCAATTTTGCATTGCGTTTAAGTTGATGGATGATAATTGGCATACAATGTGCAAGCTTCCTTCATGGATTATATAACGTAGGCTTCCGGTCGTCCTCCCTTGATTGGCTTTAAAAGAAAGCTAGTGTGGCTTCAAGAAAGGAAACATAAACATCTATAGTTGGCAGAGGAAGTCGCTGGAAAGTGTAGAGATGAATCGAATGTGTAGGCGTTAAGCGCCGATTGCGACAATCAATAGGCTTTAACAATTGTGAAAATTCGATGGAAACATATATATATATATATATTAAGATCTCTCTGCCAACGGAAGACATAGTCATGAAGCTTCTCGAAAGCACTACGGGCTTTCTCATTACTCGTAGAAAATAGAAAAGAAGAAACTTACGGCAAACGTACACCTCCAACAATGGTGCTTAACATGAGGTTTTTTATCATTGAAATTATACAAATACTATTATTTATTTCGATGGGTTGCTTATTTAGTGTAATTTTTTTTCAAAAGTTTTTAAATCTTTTGTTTAAGCAACTTTGAATATAGTCTTTACCTATTTAAGCGATTCACATAATTTTTTTCTCTCTACAATAAACAATTTGGGTTAAGAACCACCAATTTTTCAATGACAATTTTGATTTCTTATCATTCACTGAAAATATTTTACTCGGCCCAATTTGACCAATATATGTGGATTAAGAAATTAAAAAAGTAAAAACGAATGAAGAATTAAAAATTAACATATACAAAAACCTCTATAAATTAATACTCGATAAATTAATAATTTAATAATTTTTTTTGGTCTCAAGTTGGCAATTTTAGACATATTTTAATAAAATAATAAGATAATAATTTTTTGAAAACCCTTTGTAAATATATGATTCCAATAAAAGTATAAATTGATAACTACATAAAACTATTAATATATATCTATATACATGTAAAATGTTTAGTAAAATATGACTACTATGTTGTTATTTACTCTTAGCTTCACTTCCTTTTTTCTTATAATTCAATTTTAATAGATTTCATATTTCAAAAATTAGTGTTTTATTCATTCACGATGATTGTTGTATTTATCGTAATTGGTTATAAGAAAATTTTGATATAATGAATAAATCTCAATTTTGACGTGTATATAATTTCAAAAACTTACAAAATTAGGATAATATCTCTATAAACAAACAATTATTAATTAATTGTATAATAAATTAAACGCACGAAATATTTGTATAAACATACACTATACCATGAAAAGTATTCATAGTATTTACTGTTCATAAGTTTATCGCTACTTTTCATAAATTTAAGGGTTAGCGAGTAATATTGTTAATATATTAAGGGAGAACTGTTCATAGTTTTTTTTTTTTTTTTTTGCTAAACATGTAAATATCATATAATAAATAAAAGGTTTTACAATGAGCAAGACCTAAACAAAAGCAGCCAAGGAAAAAAAGAAAAACAAGGCCACAATAAGAACATCAAATAGCAACTAAACAGAGCTATCTAATCCAGAAGATCATTAGATTAATCCAACGCTTCATGTGACGGCGAGAGGAGATGATGTTGCGCATGTCCCGATCCACAAGCTTGAAGATGAGAGCTGGGAGATCCTGGTAGAGTTATGGAGGACATTGTTTCTTTGTCTCCATATATTGTACAACACAACTTGGGCAATTAATTTGCGAAGGAGAGAAGGAGCTGTTCATAGTTCATATTCTAGTATTATGGTTACATGTTCATAATTTAAAATTAGGGGTTACTATTCATAAAATTAGATATACTGGTCATATACACTGTATATTTATAGGGTTTAGGATTTAGGATTACTGTTCATTTAGGGTATATTGTTACTGTTCATTTAGGGTTTCGGGTTACTGTTTATTTAGGGTTACTTTTCATTTAGGAATCAGGGTTTTTTAAAGTTACTGTTCATTTCAGGTATAAGGTCTTAGGATTTTAAGGTTTAGGTTACTGTTCATTTAGGGTTTAGGTTACTGTTCATTTAGGGTTTAGGTTACTGTTCATTTAGGGTTTAGGATTATTGTTTATTTATGGTTTAAGGTATAGGGTTACTGTTCATTTAAGGTATAGGGTCACTGTTTATTTAAGATATAGGGTCACTGTTTATTTAAGATATAGGGTCACTGTTCATTTAGGGTATATGGTTACTGTTCATTTAAAAATATAGGGTTACTGTTCATTTAAAAATATAGGGTTACTGTTCATTTAGGGTTTAGGGTTTAGGGTTTAGGGTTTAGGGTTTAGGGTTTAGGGTTTAGGGTTTAGGGTTTAGGGTTTAGGGTTTAGGGTTTAGGGTTTAGGGTTTAGGGTTTAGGGTTTAGGGTTTAGGGTTTAGGGTTTAGGGTTTAGGGTATAGGGTTTAGGGTTTAGGGTTTAGGGTTTAGGGTTTAGGGTTTAGGGTTTAGGGTTTAGGGTTTAGGGTTTAGGGTTTAGGGTTTAGGGTTTAGGGTTTAGGGTTTAGGGTTTAGGGTTTAGGGTTTAGGGTTTAGGGTTTAGGGTTTAGGGTTTAGGGTTTAGGGTTTAGGGTTTAGGGTTTAGGGTTTAGGGTTTAGGGTTTTAGGGTTTAGGGTTTAGGGTTTAGGGTTTAGGGTTTAGGGTTTAGGGTTTAGGGGTTTA